GTTAAGCTGCTTTATTAAAACGGCTGATGTGAGCAGTCTACTTTATGTATTTGTTCCTTTTTACAGCCAGAGTAACTACAGACTAGTAAATACAAGGTAGTTGATATTGCTTTTATTGCACCGTATTATGTTTTTTATTAGATTCAGTATAGCATTGCGAGGACTGTTACGATGAGGGCTGGTTTTAAAAAAACGTGCGTGACAAATACATTTGTTTGTAAGGGACACACCATTGAGACTTGTTATTATTAGGAAGTCTTATTATTATAGCCGTGACGCCATCTGAAAATGTGAAAAAAGGGAAGAGAGAAAAGTTTTTAATAAGTAAACATTAAATACAGCCTGGAAAACTCACAGCAACCCAGTGATTCCAGCCATGAAAGCCTTCGACAACACATATAATAATATATTGTATATTATTTATTTATTTATTGTGACAGAAGCAAATTGAGATTACAGTTATAACTGTATCAAAAACTACAAACAAAGATTAAAAACTTGGCATTATGCTAAATTTCCTTTGACCAGAAGCTGGCCACTTGGAGTGCCTCTGGTGTCACTGTAAGGAGGTCCTCTATTGCATATGGCAGGGCTCAGATTGCATTGTAATACGTAGTCTGTGGTTTGATCTCCTCCACAGTAACATGTCATGGACTCCACATTGTGGACCCATTTCTTAAGGTTGGCTTTGCATCTCGTGGTGCCAGAATGTAGCCTGTTCAGCACCTTCCAGGTTGCCCAGTCTTCTGTGTGGCCAGGAGGGAATCTCTCATTTGGATTGATGTTCTGGGTTTTTGCCTGCCACTTTTGGACTCTTGCTTGCTGAGGTGTTCCTGCAAGTATCTCTGTCGAGCTGAGGAAGCTATTTCTTAATTTAATGCATTGGCTTGCCAGCTGATATCCAAACAGAGGATGGACTGGAGATGCCAGTGCCTTGGTTCTTTCATTGCTGGCTGCTACTTCCCTGCAGATATCAGGTGGTGCAATGCTGGCTAAGCAGTATAATTTCTCCAGCGATGTTGGGCATAGACATCCTGTAATAACGCGGCAGGTCTCATTAAGAGCCATATCTACTGTTTTAGTGTGGTGAGATGTGCTCCACACTGGGCATGCATATCCAGCAGCAGAGTAGCCAAGTGCAAGGGCAGATGTCTTCACTGTATCTGGTTGTGATCCCCAGGTTGTGCCAGTCAGCTTTCGTATGATCTTTTTTCTAGCACCCACTTCTTTCTTGATAGTCAAGCAGTACTTCTTGTAAATCCAGGGTAACTCCCAGGTATTTGGGTGTGCTGCAATGCTCCAGTGGGATTCCTTCCCAGGTCATCCTCAGAGTTCAAGGTACTTGTCTGTTCTGAAGGTGGGAAGCATATGTCAGCATTTTAGATGGATTAGGAATCAGCTGGTTTTTCCTGTAATAGGCAGTAAGAGTACCTAAAGCTTCGGAGAGCTTTTGTTCAACTATTTCAAAGCTTGAGTGGTGATGGCACGATCATCAGCATAGATGAAACTCTGTCCCTTCTGGCAGTGGCTGATCGTTTGTGTAAATGTTAAACATTGATAGAGCAATATATAATAATAATAATAATAATAATAATAATAATAATAATAATAGCATTCATTTGTTACCCGCCTCTACTAACAGCCCAAAGCAAAGTACAACAGAGTCAAAACATTAATATAATATAATATAATATAATATAATATAATATAATATAATATAATATAATATAATATAATATAATATCCATATGCTACTAGGACTAGCATGGCTTCCATTCTATGGAATCTTGGGATTTGTAGTTTGGGGTAAAGGCAGTAAGTGTACCTAAAGCTTCAGAGAACTTCTGTTCAACTATTTCAAAGGTCCCTGCTTGAGTGGTAATGGCACGATTGTCAGCATAGATGAAACTCTCTGTCCCTTCTGGCAGTGGCTGGTCATTTGTGTAAATGTTGAACATTGATGGAGCAATATATAATAATATATTATGCAATAATAGTAGTATTTATTTGTTACCCGCCTCTACTAACATCTCAAAGCGAAGTACAATAGAGTCAAAACATATGAATATAATATTAATATAATATTAATATAATATAATATCCATATGCTACTAGGACTAGCATGGCTTCCATTCTATGGAATCTTGGGATTTGTAGTTTGGGGTAAAGGCAGTAAGAGGAGCTAAAGCTTCAGAGAGCTTATGTTCAACCATTTCAAAGCTCCCTGCTTGAGTGGTGATGGCATGATCATCAGCATAGATAAAACTCAGTCCCTTCTGGCAGTGGCTGATCATTTGTGTAAATGTTAAACATTGGGATTTGTAGTTTGGGGTAAAGTACCAAGACCTATTTTTCCCCCATTGGTTTCCCAACTTATGTTGGGCTTCGGGGAGTTATAGTTTGGAAAGGTCCTGGCACTCTTTGGCAGACCTTGGGAAGCTACATCTCCCAGGGTTCCACTACATTGAGCTACTGCATTGAAAGCGGCATCAAACCGCATTCATTCTGCAGTGTAGGCCCAAAGTGTATCACTACAACTCTCCAGTTGCAAAAACAAAGGACTTTGAAACTAGAACTCTCAGGACTTCGTTGCAGAAACCCACGAGAGTTGTAGTTTTGCAACTCTTTATAAAAAGAGAGAGAGAAGGAGAGGGTTAAAAAGCTGAATGTGCAAACCGCTGCTTATTTTCTGATTTCTTTCTTTCCCCCCCAAATATTCTAATGCAAATAATCCAAAGAAGCCATTAAGACATTTCTTTATTTATTCAATACAGCAATGGCCCGATTTCAATCAATATTCAATGGCCTTCAATTCCCTCCCGTAATTTAATCAGCCATTCCTGATTTATTATTGATGTGGTGGCCTAATAGGAAGTTTGCGATTTGTTTGTTTTGGGAAGGAAGGAGATCATTTTCAAAGTGGGTAAGAAGAAATCTGAATAGTTTTCATCATAGATAAAAGTGTGTATGCATGTTTGTTGGTTGATGGATCAGGACGGAACACTTCATGACCCAACGTAAGAAAAAAATTGAGGGATTTGAACCAAAAAGGAAAGGAAGAGGGGGAAAGGTATGAGAGGTAGGAAAGGAAACAAGAAAAAGAAGGGGAGAAAACAAAGGGAAGCAAGAGGGAGAAGAGAAGAAGGAGAGGAAGAAGGAAGAGAAGAAAGGGAAGGGAAGAGAAAGGAAAGAAGAAAGGGAGGAAGAAAGCAAAAGGCTAGAAGGAAAGGAAAGAAAGTAAAGAGGGAAAAGTATGAGGGGAAGGAAGGAACGAAATAGAAGGGAAGAGAAAGGAAGGGGAACATGGTATGAGGGGAGAGGAGGAAGTAAGAGAATGGAAGAGAAAGGAAAGGGGAAAGGTATGAGAGGAGTGAAGGAAAGTACGAGAAAGAAGGGAAGAGAAAGGAAAGGAGGAAGGAAGAAAAAGAAAAAGGGAAGAAAGAGAAGGTAAGAAAGAGAAAGAAGAGAAGAGGAAAGAAAGCAAGAGGAAAAAGGCATGAGAGGAAGAAAGGGAAGCAAGAGGAAGAAGGGAAGAGAAAGGAGAGGAGGAAGGAAAGGAAGAAACATGAGGAAAGAGAGAGAAAGAAGGGAAGAGAAAAAAAGGAGAAAATTGTATGAGGGGAGAGGAGGAAGAAAGAGAAGGGAAGAGAAAGGAAGGAAGAGGAAAGGTATGAGAGGAAGGAAGAAAAGCAAGAAAGAAGGAAGAGAAGGAAAGGAGGAAGAAAGGAAGAAAAGGAAAGGAAGTAAGAGAAAGAAGGGAAGAGAAAGGAGAGGAGGAAGGAAGGGAAGAAAAGAGGGAAGAAAGAGAAAGAGAGGAAGAAAAAAAGGAGAAAAGAGAGGAGGAAGAAAGAAGAGAAAGGAAAGGAAGAGGAAAAGGTATGATAGGAAGGAAGGGAAGCAAGAGGAATAAGAGAAGAGAAGGGAGAGGAGGAAGGAACGGAAGAGAGAAAAAGATATGACGGAAGGAAGGATTGAAAGTGAAAGAAAGGAAGAGAAAGGAAGGGATGGAAGAAAGAAAGCTAAGGGAAGAAAAAGGAAGGAAGAAAACCAAAGGGGGAAGAAAAGAAGGGAAGGGAAAAAGGAAAATAGGAAGGATGTAGAAGGGAAGAGAAAGCAAATAAGGGAGGAAGGGAAGACAGAGAAAGAAGGGGAGAGAAAGGAATGGGGAAAATGGTATGAGGGGAGAGGAGGAAGAAAGAGAAGGGAAGAGAAAGGAGGAGGGAAAAGGTATGGGAGGAAGGAAGAAAAGCGAGAGAAAGAAGGGAAGGGAGAGGAGGAAGGAAGAGAAGAAAAAGGAGGGAAGAAAGAGAAAGAAGGGAATGGAAAGGAAGGGGAAAATGGTATGAGGGAAGAGGAGAAAGAAAAAGAATGGAAGAGAAAGGAAAGGAAGTGGGAAAGGTATGAGAGGAAGAAAGAAAAGCAAGAGAAAGAAGGGAAGAGAAAGGAAAGGAGAGGAGGAAGGAGGGAAGAAAGGGAAAGAAGGGAAGAGAAAGGAATAGGGAAATGGTATGAGGGGAGAGGAGGAAGAAAGAGAATTGAAGAGAAAGGAAAGGAAGTGTGAAAGGTAGGAGAGGAAGGAAGAAAAGCAAGAGAAAGAAGGGAAGAGAAAGGAAAGGAGAGGAGGAAGGGAAGAGAAAGGAGGGAAGAAAGAGAAAGAAGGGAAGTGAAAGGAATGAGGAAATGATATTGAAAAGAGAATTGAAGAGAAAGGAAAGGAAGTGTGAAAGGTATGAGAGGAAGGAAGAAAAGCAAGAAAAGGAAGGGAAGGAAGAGAAAGAAGGGGGAACGAAGGAAGAAAGGAAGGAAAGGGGGAAAAAGAGGCAAGGTGCTTCAGTCTACACTGTGGCAGGCATGCGGTTGGAGCCCGCTTTGAGCGCCAGGGCTGCACTCTTGGCGGCTGGGCTTCGGTCGGGGGGCGGCGCTCTGCCCATGCTCAGAGGCTGCGGGGTTGGGGTTGGCTGGGCTTCGGGGGAAGCTCCGCCCCGATGCCAGGAGGAGGAGGAGGAGGAGGCTTTCCGGCGGCCGCCGCAACTTTCCCCGACCGGCAGGCAGCATCTCTGGCATCCTCTCCTTTGCGCCTTGGCTTCAGCGGGAGCCTTCCTCTTCGCCTTCCTCATCCTCGGCCCCCAGGTAAGTGCAGTGCCTCCTTTGCAGCCTCCGGAGCCCAAAATTCAAGCAGCGGGAAGAAGGAGGCACCGCTCTTTTCGGTAGAGAAGCCTATTCCCTCTTTTCCCGGCTCCCAAGTTCTCGGTCTCCACGAAGAACTCCTTCCTTCTCTTCCTTCCTTCCTTCCTTCTCTCCCTCCCTCCCTCCTCGCCTTCCTTCTTTCTCCTTCTCTTCCTTCCCTTCTCTCCCTCCCTTCCTTCTCTCCTTCCTCCCTTCCACCCTTCTCTCCTTCCTTCTTTCTCCTTCTCTTCCTTCCCTTCTCTCCTTCCTTTCCTTCTCTCCTTCCTTCCTTCCTTCCTTCCTTCCTTCCTTCCTTCCTCCCTTCCTCCCTTCTCTCCTTCCTTCTTTCTCCTTCTCTTCCTTCCCTTCTCTCCCTCACTTCCTTCTCTCCTTCCTTCTTTCTCCTCCTTCTCTTCCTTCCCTTCCTTCATTCCCTCCCTCCCTCCCATCCTTCCTTCCATTCATCCTTCCCCTCTGTAGCTTTTGGCTCAAGTTCCTAGTCCCTCCCAAGGTTTTCTTTCTCATTCTCCATCCTCCTCATCCCTATCTTCATCCACTTCCTATTTATCATGTCCAGCATCAGCATCCTCACCTTAGTCCTCCTCATCTTCATCTCCATCCCCTTTGTCCTCCTTATCTTTTGTCATCTTCACCTCTATCTTCCTCCTCCTCTCAGTCCTCCTCCTCCTCTTCATTTCCATCTTCATCTTCATCTTCCTCATCCTCGTAGAGGCTGGATGGCCATCTGTCTGGAATGCTTTGAATGTGATTTTCCTGCTTCTTGGCAGAATGGGGTTGGACTGGATGGCCCACCAGGTTTCTTCCAACTCTAGGATTCCATGATTCATTTTTATCCTTTCCATCATCATCATCATCATCATCATCATCATCATCATCATCATCATCATCATCATCATCATGAGTCTCTTTGAAGAGAGAGGGCAGGTTAAAAATAAAGTTTGTTATTCTATTCACCCTCCTCATCGTCTTCACCCCATCATAATTCTCTTCATCTCCATCCTCTTCACCCTCCTCATCTTTATCATTTCCATCATCACCATTATATTCATCCTCCTCTTCATCACCATCATCATCTTCCTCATCTCCATCCTCTTCATCTGTCTCATCTTTATCATTTCCATCATCATCATCATCATCATCATCATCATCATCTACCTTCCCATCTCCATTCATCTCCTCCTCATCTTCTTAATCTCCATCTTCTTCATCTTTATCATCACCATGCTCTCCATTCTCTTCACCCTCCTTAGATTTATCATTTTCATCATCATATTTGTCCTCTCTTCATCTTCATCCCCATCATGTTCATCCTCCTCATCTTTGTCATTTCCATCATCACCATTATATTCATCCTCTTCTTCATCTTCATCTCCATCATTCTCTTCATCTCTATCCTCTTCATCTGCCTCATCTTTATCATTTCCATCATCTTCTTCATCGGCCTCCTCGTCTTCATCTCCATCATCATGACCATCATCTTCATCCTCATCTTTATTGTCACCACCACCATCTTCTCCACCATCTTCACCCTGGTCATCTTTATTATTTCCATCATCACCACCATCATCATCTTCATCCTCCTGTTCGTCTTCATCCCCATCATAATCTTCTTAATCTCCATCATCTTCACCTGCTTTCTCTTTATCATTTCCATTTCAATTATATTCATCCTCCACCTCATCTTCATCATCATCCTTTTCATCTCATCCTCCTCATCTTCATCATTTCCATCATCATCTTCATCTGCCTTCCCATCTTAATCTCCATCATCTTGACCATCATCTTCACGCACCTCATCTTTATCATCACTATATTCATCCTCCCCCATGTCTTCATCTCCATCATCTTCACCCGCCTCATCTCCATCATTTCCATCATCATTATATTCATCCTCCATCTCCATCATCATCCTCTTCATCACCTTCTTCATTACTATAATCTTCATCCTCCTAATCTTTTATCATTTCTATCATCATCTTCATCCTCTTCCTCCTCATCTTCATTCATATTATCTTCATCACCATCCACCCTTCTCATCTTTATCATTTCCATCAGCATCTTCATCATCCCCCCTCCTCATTGTTATCATTTCCATCATCATATTCATCCACTTTCCCATCTCCATCATGATCATCATGATCGTGATCATCATCATCATCATCATCATCATCATCATCATCATCATCATCATATATTTACCTTCATCTTCATCTGGATCATCTCCATCATCTTCACCCCCTCATCTTTATCATTTCCATCATCATCATCATCATCATCATCATCATCATCATCATATTCATCCTCCATCTTCATCTCCACCATCATCCTCTTCGTTTCCTTCATTCACACTCCGCTTTGTCTTTGTCTTCATCTCCATCATCTTCACCCGCCTCAACTTTATCATTTCCATCATTATATTCCTCCATCTTCATCTCCACCATCATCCTCTTCATCTCCACCATTCACACTCCTCTTTGTCTTCATCTCCATCATCATCTCCATCATCTTTACCCACCTCATCTTTATAATTTCCATCATTATATTCATCCACCATCTTCATCACCATCATCTTCTTCATTTCCATCATTCACACTCCTCTTTGTCTTCATCTCCATCATCATATTCTTCATCTCCATTATCTTCACCTGCCTCATCTTTATAATTACCATCATCATTATATTCACCTTCCTCTTCGTATTCGTCGTCATCTCCACCATCATCCTCTTCATCTCTCTCCATCCTCTCCATCCTTCTCATCTTTATCATTTCCATCATCATCATCATCATCATCATTATATTCACCCTCCTCCTCATCTTTGTCTTCATCTCCATCATCATCTTCTTCATCTCTATCATCATTTTCTTCATCTATCTCCATCCTCTCCATCCTCCTCATCTTTATCATTTCCATCATCTTCTTCATCTTCATCTCCATCCTCTTCCTCCCCCTCCCAGGGCACTTCCTTGGCCACTTTCCAGACTTCCCTTTCCTAAGACAGAATCCCAAGAACCTTTCCATTCATACTGTTGAGCTTCATTATGACTAAAGTTGAGGGCGAATGACTTCCTGGGAATTCCTTGCCAGGATCAGAACTCAAAAAGCTGCCATGAAGAAGAGGAGGGACCTGGAGGCACCCCTTTGGCTGGGAGTTTCGCATGTAAATCTTCACATAGGATCCCCAAAGTCTGCTTTCCCTTGAGTCAGGCCTTGAGGATACCCCGAAACCTGGTCAAAGGGCAACTTCTCCCTGAATTTCCCTTATACAAAAGGCCGGTCTGTCTACATCCTTTTCCGAAAGCCCTGCAGTTTCCCTCTGCTCCACATTCCCTCCACGCAGCATCAGCATCAGCATCAGCAGCATTGGTTTGATGAATGGGGTTTCCCTGGGGGTGACTTGAGAAAGAGGAGAAGGAGGGACAATGCAGGGCCCATCTCGGTGTGTGTTGATTGCAATGGGAAGCCAACGTTGTGGGGGAAAGACATGGCTGGGCATGTGCAAATGTGAAACATTTATGGCTTGCTATTGATTGGCCATATTGATACAAGCCAGCTCTGCAACTCGAGCAAAGTTGGGCTCGGAAGCAGCCTTTTGGGGGGGCTCTTTTTAATAGGCCCATGTGCGCAGCAGAGTTGGCATCGCAGCCAATGTAAGGAAGCTTCTCATTATCTATTTTGTTGTTGTTGTTAGAGAACATGCTTCTCTCTTCTCTTTGGGTGTTATATCTGCATGCTGAACTCTTGCAGAGGGGAAAAATCAGGCTTCCTCCTCCTTCGGTTCCTCGCTGTGAATGTAGATGAGGCAGAGCTGCTCCGGCACGTTTAATTGATTCCATGCAATCCCCAAACAAACCCCTTGGGTCAGCAGGTTTGTGTCCTCCTGCCTCGCATTAATCCCTTGCCTTCGAAAGCATGCCTTTTGTATATATACATTTCTCCTTGTCCCATATGCTAAGGATATATAATGGATTGGAATATATAATGGTGTGGAAGAATCGGTTGGCGTGCTTTTGGGTTTTATTTCAACTGTCAAGTCATGCAGTGCCTTGAGAATGGCACAGAAAATAACTGCAAGCCAGAAAGCACCAGATGATTGCTCTGGAGATTTTTTAGCTGGGAGGCCATCTGTCGGGAGGGTTTTGATAGTGTCTTTCTTCCTGGAAGAAGCAGGTTGGACTGGATGGCCTTTAGGGGTCCCTTTGATCCTATTTTGTAGTGAACTTTCTAATGTCTCTGAAGTTAAATGGACATCTGTCGGGAGGGTTTTGATAGTGTCTTTCTTCCTGGAAGAAGCAGGTTGGACTGGATGGCCTTTAGGGGTCTCTTCCAACCTTAGCATTCTTTGATCCTAATTTGTAGTAAACTTTCTAATCTCTGAAGTTAAATGGACATCTGTTAGGAGGGTTTTGGTGGTATCTTTTTTCCTGTAAGAACGGGGTTGGATTGGATGACCTTTGGGGGTCCTTTCCAACTTTAGCATTCTTTGATCATATTTTGTAGTGAACTTTCTAATGTCTCTGAGGCTAAATGGACATCTGTTGGGAGGGTTTTGGTGGTGTCTTTCTTCCTGGAAGAACGAGGTTGGATTGGATGACCTTTGAGAGTCCTTTCCAACCTTAGCATTCCTTGATCCTATTTTGTAGTGAACTTTCTAATGTCTCTGAGGCTAAATGGACATCTGTTGGGAGGGTTCTGATTGTGTCTTCTTCCTGGAAGAAAGAGATTTGAATAGATGAGCTTCGTGGGTCCCTTCCTTAGCCTTCTTTGACCCTCTTTCTCCATGAGCTTTCTAATCTCTATGAAGCTATATGGACTTCTGTTGGGAGGGTTTTGATGGTGTCTTTCTTCCTGGAAGAAGCAGGTTGGAATGGACGGACTTTGGGGGGTCCCTTCCAACCTTAGCAATCTTTGACATTTCTCAATGAACTTTGTAATATCTATGAGG